ACATCGTCTGCCATCGCAGTCCTGAACTCATCGATGTTGCTCTGATCCCGCATGAACCATGATCGCCTTTGGCAGGGCCAGTCCCGAAACGAGACATGAAGAAAAACTCTTTCATAACATGCAACGTCTCTTCCGAGAGCGGTGTCTGTAAGATCCAATCGAGTCCCATTATGGCTGATGCAATGTCATGCCAGACGCCGGTGCAGAAACCTTGACCCAATTGGGAGAAACAAAACGTTTGGTGCAGGATGCTAGTCTATGCGGTGCAGCGCGTGACAGAGCCTCCCATTCCAAAGTTTACTTCAAAGTGTTTGAGGTCAATCTGCGGGCACTTCTGCCTCTCGTGGAGTCTGGTTGTACCTGTTGCTTGCCTCCGGGGCCCTGGTCCTGTGCGACTAACCCATCTGGCGGTTTTCTGTCGTCCATCATACCACTCCTCCGGATCGCGGCTTGCCATTAGACGGATCTGAAAATTAGTTCCACCGTCCTACACGCCATCTGCTCATTCGACTATTTTGCTTTACCGTCGTCTTTGTTGCCCTTTACACTGTGATATAACCGTCTGAGGGGTGGTCTGGCGGGGACCTGTTCGTTCAGTAATGTTTACTCTGACCGCCCGCATCCGGCAGGGACTTCGTCGCCACGTGGTGAAAGGCGCTCTCGTCAACAGGGCTTCTTGAGACGTCGAGACCGCACCACCTCGGGCGATGTCAAGAGTAATACGGGCTGATATCTTTGTTGAAAAACTTGCCCAGCTGTGCTGGCTCTGGTAAAGCCTTGGCCGTTGCTTCCACAAGGCAGAGAGCCTAGCCCTAGGGCCCAAGCAATCCTTAGCTGCTGCACAAAATTTCCGGCGGCAAAGTACTCGATCTTGGTGTAGCTTCCGTTGGACTGCGGCTCTGGCGCGGACAGTCTTCCTGCAGCGCATCTGAGTCCATTCTTGCTCCTGTCAAGTCTCCGAGAGACAAAATCTAAGATGTCCCGTCCATTTGGTCCAAGATCTTTGTAAGGTCCATGCTCGCGTTGCGCCAGCTACTTCTCGAACGTATTGGGCAAAGCAGGTGCGGCTCAGGAAACGTGCGTTGATCTGGCTCATCGACGTTCAAGGATCCCCGTCAGAAAAGCCACGAGTTGTGCAATCCATCCACAAACGGCCCCCCTGTCGAACAAAACGAGCTGCTCCTCTCATCCTTGCAAAAGCCACGCCAGGAGGCCCGGGATCATGAAGAAGGATCCCAGCCCACTGGAGCATTCGTTTCTGCGGGACTCTTCCGTCGATGCTGCAGGCCCCCTTTAGCGGCCCGCAGAATCAGCGCTCATTTTCCCACTGGAGCCTGCAATGCTGATCTGAATTATTGTTGGGGAAAAGTCTAGCAGAATGCGACCCTGAGGCAAGACGAGAGACTGCCAGAGTCGTGTTCTACTGGCGGCGTTGCAATTGCATGAATCAGGGTGTGACATGCTTTCCCCGAGAGCGGACGTGTTCGGCCAGGACCCCCGCTATTCGAAACGAAAAGCTGGCATCCATGGTTGTGCCATGCATTGGAAGAAGGCTTGACTGCAGAGAGAACATTGTTACCTATCGAAAGCGGAAGCATTGGCCAAAGCTCTTCGCGGAGAGAATGTCGTCGTATGGCAGATGGAGGAAAGTCCGATACTTGATGTGGCTGCGTGGCGAGCCGCTAGATATGGAAGCAACGAAAGAGGCGTCGTCGAGTGGGACGTGTTTCCGCAAGCAACGTGTGGCGATGACCTTCTGAAGGGCGAGGCGCGAGCTGGCTACGGCTGCGGGTGCGACGGCGGGTTCGCGCACGAGAAGGAGGCAGAAGAAGAGCTCGGTCCACGAGGCGTTTCCGGAGTAGGGGCCCAATTGGGGTTTTGTGGCAGCGATCTGGTGTCACGCAGGGGCCTGGAGGATCGAAGTGGCTCTGTCTTTCCGTCTCTTGTGTGGAATGCCACGATGACGCTCCATACTGAGAACGGATACTCAGCCAAATTGAAGGCTCAACTGGAGCCTTTGATTGATGCGCTGCCCAGGTGTTATTTGACAGCACGGCCAACAGTAACTGAGCCATTGATTGGTCCATGGTGTGAACGGGATGGCCGCGGATCTGTCGCAGTCCTATGTTGATTGTGCGGAGCCCGTTAATCTTTGAGAGCATATCGAACAAGTCTTTGAAGGTGGTGTACATAGGACATAGGTATCCGCAGGTGAGGGCAGGATGAGACAGGCGACGCGGATTGGGTTGGTGTTTTGGCGGCAGACCAGACGGTTCGAGATTGAAAGTTGTTTGAATCGACGCAGCCATGTGCCATTGTACTCTGAATCTGCAAGAGTCTATTGGCTTTCGACTTGTTTGCTGTGACCGTTGGCTTCTCTCCTTGTGCATCAAGGTATGGGGCATGAGAGTTTGCAGCTCGCAACCTGTATTTCTGGGACACTCCGGCCCAACATTGTGCATGCGAAAGGGTGTACGTCAAACCATGACATAGGTCTTCTTCGAAAGCACGTCCAGACCGGCAACTGGAGATTATTCGAGTGGCTGCTAGCACCTAGGGAACTCAGCCAGAAAGCTTAGGTGATGGTTGCTGAGAGGTAAGTCTTCGATATGTAGATGCATTTGTGGTGCCTTGACGAGCATGACATGGGTGTCGAGAGGGTTGTGAGGGTCGCGTGCGAAGCACTGGGGGATGCGGCGAAGTCGGTCCTCGATGAGGGTCAAAGAGAGGGCATTCATGAGATGGTTCGTTCGGCTGGGTCCCGAGGAACTGCCCGGCTCCGAAGAAGAAGAAGTAGTTTCAACGAGCCAGTGGATTGGTTGAGCGACGGGTGAAATGTCTGAGATGATGGCGGACTGAATATCTGACCAAAGAGAAAGAGGTATCAGAGGTGGTGAAGCCTGAAGACGGCATTCGTAGCTTTGCACAGAGGAGACGAGGATTGGCGTGCCTTCGTGCCTGTGTACTAAGGCGACCGGAGTCACTGAGCAGTGGACGGTTCGACGGGGAACTGGAGGTGGCTTGCTAATGCAAGTGCAAGGAAGGCGCGGACAGACTTGAGTACCCCAGCACAAGTACCTGCCAAGTCTCGTGAGCTGCAATTCTGCGGCAAGAGCGGGCCGGGATGACAGGACAAATCAGACCGGCGATACAAGCCAGATACGTCAGAAAATGGACCCACTTACATCCCGTCCTTCTCTTGCCTTAGGTGGGAATCTAGAGCAAGGTACGTACTCAGGAAATGCAAGTTGAGGCAGGTACTGCTACCACCCCGGCTCAAAAGTTCCGCATGTTCCTGTTCCCGCTCTCCTGTTCATGTCGCATTTCTTTTCTTTTTGCTTTCCAACGGATAAGCTATGCTGCAGCTCTAGCTCTAGCTAAGGTCTGTTGGTTAGAATGGATTTGGTCATATGGGTACAGCGACGTAGCATCGAATGTGGTCGGACTGGCATTCTATAAAGTCAGGGTCGTGATCGACGTCGTGGCGGTGGTGGTGGTGGTGGGCGTTTGTTGTGCGGCTATTCACCTTTGCAGTGCAGCAGTTCAGAGTCTACTCAGTACTACCACAGTGCACCATGCATGGAGGAACACGGGTACAGAGAATAATCATTCAATCGAGACCAGGTAATCCATGCTTCCATAGTGTAGACACAGCAAAGTCGCATCAACCCTGTTCTGTTTGCTTGCCCATGCCATTGCCAGGAGTCAAGCCCAAGGACAAGCATACGTACCCATACCCGGGACCAGCACTTGCGTGACTCTCTTTCCCGTCTAACCAATGTACCAAGCGAGGTACCTTTACCCTGCCTGACCACCACAAGGTACTTTGCGTATCTAGCCGTCCTCGGTTCATACCTACTCTATCCGTACATACCATGGCCACGGCAAGTGATGGAACGGGGCACGATGATACCTTGTCAACGGAGACCATCGACGGAGGCAAGGACGAGGGAGGCACGGAGGGTACCAAGTGTTGACAGCTAATGAAATTGAATCAGGTAATAAGCACATAATGTACTTTGTATCTTACGGATACCATGAGGTGTGAGCATGGAGCACAGAGCACGGAGCGCTCCAGATGGATGAGGTGAGGTGACTGAGCAGGTCCCAGGTCCCAGGAGCAGGAGCAGTAGGTAGTGAAGAGGGCGGTACTTCATAGTTTGCTCTTTGTGCGTTTGGGTACCAAGCATCCCTACGGATACAGCACTTTGGCTTGTTCTTCTTCTTCTGCTGCAGAACAACCTGTCTGCTTCGTCTACTTCGACTTCTCTTTCTCGCCCTTCCTCCTCTTCTCCTATTTGCTTCCAATCTTCCTTCCCGTTCCGTGCGTGTCCGCCGTCTTCCCCAATCCTTCTCCCAGCACTTGGCTGCCCTCATCACATCAATCTCGCTTGGTCATCACCAACATAACTTAACAGCCTCTGTGTGTCACTGTCACGTCTCGTCTCGTCTGGCCTCAGCTTCTTGTCTGCTCCTCCTCACATCATCGTCGCCATCGTTCCTTTCTCCAATTCCTGCGCTAGCCCGTTAGTTCTCTCCCCTGACCCGCCATTGGCCTCGCTGGGCAGCAAAAACACCTAAGCAGGAGGATTAACATTAGCAACCCGCAGCTCACCGGGCGTCCGCTACGAACGCCCCCAAGAGTCTTAGCGGTTTTTGTTTTTCTCTAACCTGCCAGCGGGATCAAGAACAAAACCGACAAAAGCTTCCTCCGCCCACTCCCGCCCGTCCCATTCCTCAAACCTGGACCTCCAAAAGGTGCACAGCCAGAGACAGGCACGCCGCAGAGCACCGCACCACACCACACCACACCGCACCGCACTTCATATCTACGGGCAGGCATTGCATTTCGATTCTTCTACCCACGCCATCCGTCCTCGCCGTCGCTCCCGTCGCCTTGTTGTCTCGACTCGACTTCCAATCTCTCTTTCCCCCCATCCTCCCGCCTTGCGCCTTGCGCTTCACCTGCGTCACGCTGAGATTACGATCCAAATCGACCCTTTTCTTCCATCCCGGCCCGGTCAACCTCTCATCGCTCTCCTCTTCATCTCTTCGTCTGATCTTGCCGACCTTCAACGCCCTCGGACCATTGCGAGACCGTTCCAATCCCACCTGGACCTCGACGCGAATTCCTCCAAGAACCCTCCTCCCCGGAACTAGCTGCTCGCATTTCTTCTTCCACCTCGTTTTCGCCTTAGACCGTTACCATCTCCACCGGTCCGCCTCATTGATTGTTTCTCGGTTTCTGCCCACAGTTTTTGATTACCGACTGAACGCGTTACTTTCTTTTCTTTTTTCCCCCAACACTTGTTCAGCGTCACCGCGCCGGCTCCTTCGTGCACCCAAATTATTCGGCGATAAACGTCCCTACACCAATATGTGTTTCGGGGCTCGAACAAAAGATGACGGCGGTGGTGCTCGTTCGCGCGACCTCGACCGCATGATCCGACAAGATGAGAAGCGCCTATCGAAAGAAGTTAAGCTGTTGTTGCTGGGTATGTTGACGCGATCGCTAACTAGCACAATGCATCTGTTCGTGCGCTGACTTTGTTTTCATTTGCACAGGTGCCGGAGAATCTGGAAAATCCACTGTCCTCAAGCAAATGAAGTTGATTTACGCACAAGGTTTCAGCAAGAACGAAAAGCTCGAATGGAAGCCGGTCGTGTTCAACAACATTGTCCAATCATTCCGTTTGATCCAAGATGCCATGACCGAGATGGGAATCGAGTTCAGCAACCCCGAAAATGAGGCAAGCGACCCCCGATAAAGCTCATGTTGACGCCAATTGCGTGCGACAACCTCGAGACATCCTGTCACTCTTCTTGCGTGCAATGAATAGAACGACCCGGCTAACACATGGTGTCTCTTACAGAAGCACATGGCGCATATCCTGGTGGAACACGAGATCAACGCCCAAGACCCTCTCCCGCGCGACTACCTGCAACCTGTCAAAGAACTCTGGGTCGATAGTGGTGTCAAGCAGGCAATAGCAAAGGGCAACGAGTTCGCCCTTCACGACAACCTGGCATAGTAAGCATACTGTCGCACCACCTGTCTTTGCAGACAATATGGCTAACCGGTATAGCTTCTGTGACGATTTGGACCGCATTTGGGATGCGAGCTACGAACCCACAGACCAAGATTTGTTACGATCAAGACTGCGAACCACGGGAATCACCGAAACGGTTTTCGACCTGGGTCAACTGACATACCGCATGTTCGACGTCGGTGGCCAACGTTCAGAACGGAAGAAGTGGATCCACTGCTTCGAAAATGTCAATTGCTTGCTCTTCCTTGTCGCCATCAGCGGATACGATCAATGTTTGGTCGAGGACAAGGACGGCGTAAGTGTGATCGAGTCTATTTTTCCTCGCTTTCTGTCAAGCTGACCAACCCAATAGAACCAAATGAACGAAGCGCTCATGCTCTGGGAGTCGATTGCCAACTCGCACTGGTTCACGAAGTCTGCCCTTATCCTCTTTCTGAACAAGATGGATCTCTTCAAGGAGAAGCTCCCTAACAACCCAATCACGTCGCACGGTTTCACGGATTATCACGGTCCCGCCGAAGACTGGAAGTCTGCCAGCAAGTACTTCTTGGACAAGTTCCGCGCCCTCAACCGAAACACCGAGAAGGAAATTTACGGACATTTCACGAACGCCACTGATACGAACCTGCTCAAGATCACGATGGGCTCGGTCCAGGATATGATTATCCAGCGCAACCTCAAGCAGCTGATACTATAAGGCAGAGCCAGCGATATTGGGTCACCAGGTGGCCTAAGATTATCCTCAACCCCCCACCCCACGGCATGGATGAAACATGCCAACTCTAATCGATACCCGCGGTCTTTCCGGCTTTCCTAAGCTCATCACGGCCCCGCCCGGCGGCGCTAGTCATTCACGACGATTGCCACTTTGTCGTATATTTGCGATTACACGCCTAGGCCTCCCGGTCGCGATACATCAGCGAGTCCATTGCGGACGCCGGCACCGATATGGATGTATATTACTCCACTTCCTTTGTGTCTAATTTCTCGTCATCTATTGTTCATATGCCGGCGTTGGTCTGAACAGAGAGTTTGGCAAAAAATTGTGGCTGGATCACTCGGCTATTTTTTTGCATATCATCATCATTACAGCGGTCGTTGGTACCGCGCAGCCGAGGCCAGTAGAAGAGCAGTAAACAAACCACTGAGAGTGGTCCCAACTTGGAGCTTCAAGGTTGAGGCTCAAGAAAGGAAAGAAGGCGGAGCAGGTTGCGAAGGGGGGTTAGTATGAGACGAAACGGGAGCGAGTGGAGAGAGAGGCCGAGCAGAATTGGATTCGCGTAACGATGGATTGATACCTAATCAAGTGTTTCAAAGCTTTGCCGCTCACATTGGGGTTTTAGGGGAAAGACATGTGTGTGGATTTATGCTGCGAGGCGGAAGCGCCGCGGGCTACAGAGCACGCATCTATCTCATTTACAAGAGAAAAGGAAAGAAATCAGATAAAACATGTTAAAAATTCCGTCTGATAACCGCCCAATGCGTATGCTCTAAATATGTGAAGGGATCTTGTTCGATGGAGTTTATTTTCGGTCGAGCCTCCAATGCCTGACACTCTTCGCATTGAAGAAACATCAGCCTCAATTTTAAGCTTTCATGTAGGAGTGGCATATCCGACCCGAGGAGTTGGGTTGGGACCAGACTGCAACGGTCATTGATACTACGTCGTGCTCTCACCGATAACTGGCGTCCGGGAGAATCGGACTGGGCTGGGCTTGTCATGGTTTCGGATTTTGTGATACCCCAAACATGAGCTTACAAAGAAGATGTTTCACGCGGGGGAAGCAAGAGCTGATTTGACCGGACGAACGTCGCCAGGCAGGTTGCCGAAAGAAAAATCAGCTGTAGAGTTGGGTGGAAGAGAGATTGGGGTAAGTGAGGGCGCGTACCTGTTACAACGTCGTTGGGGATTTCTGTTTTTGCTTTCTTTTTGCATTCTATCTAAGCCCGTCGCCTGGTGTAAAGCAAGAAAGACGGCGGTGGACGGCCAACCGGTGTATCGTGAGGTTTACCGATTGCCTGGGTTCGTTCGATGGTATGTAAGTTGACCTGGAATGGGTGTGGCACGGGAATCGCAAACGAGTCTTAGTTAGGCCCCGATGCTGCTGGGCTAGGCGGGTTCAGTTTGCGTGCCGCGGCAAAGCTGTATCCCGGTCGTTGAGACCTGGGATCTTTGTTGGGGTATGGAATGTCTGTTCTGAATTGCTCCCTAGCTTGTAAGCTATGTAGGAACATTCCTTTACCTCCTCGGCCCGGGAGAGTGTAGGTGTGAGGGTATTCATCACCATGGGGATGGTAGGCATGGCGATGGAGTCTATGTGTCTTGTGTGGTTCAGGGATAGGAGATGGACTTGAGAATTGAATCGATTCTACTTGATGAGGTCTGTTGTGCTTCGAGGTGGCATACTTCAACTGGTCTTGTAGATCTCAAAACGACAATGAGCATCGGAAGACACTAGCCGTATATCAATACTTGAGATAATACAATACTGCGTACTATATATGGAGGCGTGATGATGAGCAAGGATCCTTCTTGATCAAGGAGTAAGGAATGTCCAAGGAGAAAACAAAGTGATTAGCGGCGGCTGGACGCGGGGGAGTCCAAGGTAAAGGCCGATCGGAGCCGGGCCGAAGCAATCCATTTCCGATAACGGATCGGACAATTCGGGGCCGTAAGAAAGAATTCGTACTGTACAGATTTGTCGCGATTGCTTGGGGAAAACACAGTGCGAGGTGTCGCCATTAGCCGAACCTCAGGGATGAGCTCCGACCGCGAAGCCCGTCACGGCAGCTACCCCGCCGTTATCGTTCCTCCCCCCACCACCACCACCGCGCCGAACCAAACGTCACTCGCAAGTCGCAAACCCCCTCTGCTTCGGAAAGCACGTAGCCCTTTCTTCCAACATACAATGCGCCTCGCCCTCCGCACCCTACGCACCCTATCAACGACAATCGCCAACTCTCCTACCCACCGCCTCGTCCCCTTTGGAAACTTTCATCGCAACGTCCGCAAGATGTCGTCCCTCCCGTCCCCGGTGCTCAAGAAGCCCGTCAAGCTAGCCTGCATCCAACTCGCCTCGGGCGCCGACAAGGCCGCCAACCTCGCCAACGCCCGCGCCAAGGTTCTCGAGGCCAGCGCCGCCGGCGCCAAAATCGTCGTCCTGCCCGAGTGCTTCAACTCGCCCTACGGGTGCGACTATTTCCCAAAGTACGCCGAGACGCTGCTCCCGTCCCCGCCCACCAAGGAACAGAGCCCCAGCTTCCACGCGCTGGCGGCCATGGCGAGCGAGAGCGGGAGCTACCTCGTCGGCGGCTCCGTCCCGGAGCTGGACGCCGAGACGGGGAAATTCTACAACACGAGCTTGATCTTTTCGCCCGAGGGGAAGCTGCTGGCGACGCATCGCAAGGTGCACCTGTTCGATATCGATATCCCGGGCAAGATCACCTTCAAGGAGAGCGAGGTGCTGAGCCCCGGCGACCAGGTCACCGTCGTGGACCTGCCCGAGTACGGACGGATCTCCGTGGCCATCTGCTACGACGTGCGGTTCCCCGAGCTGGCGGCCATCGCCGCGCGCAGGGGGTGCTTCGCTCTCGTGTACCCGGGGGCGTTCAACCTGACGACGGGGCCGATGCACTGGCGGCTGCTGGGGCAGGGGAGGGCGGTGGATAACCAGATTTACGTGGCCATGTGCAGTCCCGCGCGGGACATGGGCGCGACGTACCACGCGTGGGGACACTCGTTGATTATCGACCCGATGGCGAATGTGCTTGTTGAGGCGGAGGAAGGGGAGGGGACTGTTGCGTGGGAGTTGGAGGGTGAGAAGATTGAGGAGGCGAGGAGGAATATTCCTATTAATTCGCAGCGGAGGTTTGATGTGTACCCTGATGTTAGTCAGGGAAAGCAATGAGGACGGGATGGGATGGGATGGATGTTTGGTGTAAGAGTTTGAAAGACAAGATGGAGTGTGTTTTGTTGAAGCTGGCGGAGCAGATTAGGTGCATATAGAAAGGGTTCCGAGGTGTGTCGGCTCCATGTATACCATTGTGGCGCATACAAAAGATGGTTGGGTGGGAGGAAAGACTTCAGCTTAGGTATTACGTGCATCAATGATATCTGCCTTACATTTCAAGCATAATTCTTTGCGGGCTATCACGGTGTCTCGTGGATGTTGACCAAACCAATTGAAGCTCGAATTAATGTCAGCCTCGGGATATCGAGGGCTACTCACCGTCATCCAAGCAGGTGATCATAATGATTCTCAGCCCTCAATGCGGAGTAGCCACAGTCTGGGCCTATCTATCGGTTATAAGAACATGAGAGTCACTCATATACCAGCGATTCTGTCTATTATCTTTGTCCAAGATAGAGGGACAGAGAAAACCAGACGGATTTAAGACCACCAATGCTAGGATCCAAAAACAAACAAATCGCCGGGCATCGAGTTTAGCTTACCAGAAAAGGCAGAAATATGTGGTCTTCATTGTATAAGCGTTTTCACATCAACTCAAGAACAGCCCTCATGGCAGGTCTGAAGGAGTTCCTCTTCTGCTGTCACAGCTGCAAAGCAACCGCTTTGGCATCCTATTCGCAGCCGAAACCACCAGTTATATCGAATCTAAGAGCAACACGTTTTATCCATCTCATCTCTTCAAAGCCGTCTGCACCCTAGTCTTACACTCATAACACAGACTCGCCCCATTCACCCTCGCAATCGCCGCCTCGTGCGGCATCAACGTCGCCATCTTGGCCTGGAACGCAATCGACGCCGCAACCACAAACTCGCTCGGCAACTGGCCCGCAAGCCTCTCCCACGAAGCCGGCGAACAGTTCTGCACAAACAGATCCCGCAACCTCTCCATCAACCCTTCGACGTCGTCGTCCCGCCTCCGGTGAAGACTCGCCAGCGCGACGTAGCCGTTGGCGAAGTTGAAGACCCACCACTCGGCGCCGTGTTGCTGCTGTGCGTCCCCAACCCCGCCGCCGCCGCCGCAGCTGCCGCCGAGCTTCGTGGCCCCGACGTTGAGCGTCTCGCGGATGGCGGTGGATACTTTCCCCAGGAGCAGGTCGTCGTGGAAACGGTCGCAGAGGGACCACATGTCGACGAGCTCCGTCAGGTCGTGCGGGGTGTGCATGTCGCAGGGTTTCAGGGAGAAGGGGGAGACCTCGTAGTAGACGGCGTCCTCGCCCGGGTGGTCCGCCGCATTGCGGCGGCAGCGTTTGACGCGCTGGGCTGTGAGGCGGGTGAAGTAGCACAGTTTCACATAGGTGCCCAGGGTCAGCGGGCTGATGCTGACGTTGACTTTGGCGCCGTCGTCGTCTGCGTCTGCGTTGCCGTCGGTGTCAGTGTCGTTGAGGTCGATTGTGTTTGTGTGGGACTCGGCAAAGGGCCCGTCGAGGCAGCGTTGGAAGTATTTCGAGGACTCGACTAGGAGGGACTTGTGGATTGCAAAGGACTGGTCTGAGGTCTTGAGCCAGATTATTATTTGGGGTTGCCTTGGTCTCGGGTAAGTAGGAATATCAGAAGAAGGTGTGAGTTTTGCGATTGTGATTGAAACGCCTTGCCCGATGCAGAGGTTCTCGACTCCGAGCACTTATTCGAGGATAAATGAACATACTGAAAAAGACCGAAAAATCATGAGTTCAGACAACAGGCTTTGAATGAGAAAAACAGAAGTGTGGCATGTAGTCCAAGAGTGCCTTAACTTCTCTTCTATCACGGCTTTCGGACAAGACGAGATGATGCTATGGCTTCACTCACAACATCTCAACAGCATACACATAATTACAGTTGGATGTCAAATCCAATCGTTATCCAGCTCCTTCACTTACCTCAAGAGAGAACCCACATCGCTCAATTCATCAGGTCTCGGCGCTCCTCGGTCAAGCGTGGTATTCATGGTGCTTCTGTTTCTGCAGGTACGTCTGCCAATCTGGGATCAGAATACGAATGTGAGAGTGAGAGGAAGAAGCAGTAAAAAAGCCAATTCAAAGTGACGGACATTGCACGGTCGACCCCGCGCGGGATACGGCCTCGGTAAGAGAGCTTGTTCAACTCATCTGATGTTTGGGAACCAATCGGGTGGGTTATCTTGACTCGATCATGCGCGGGTGAAGGGATGATATTTCAGCTACATTACATTTCCATCGATGAGCTTTCGCTATACAGCTAGATTACAGCTTCCTAGAGAGCACCCTATGTTCTGACGTCACAGCCATACGATTCTTCGGCAACTCTGCACCGTGATCTGCCTTCGCCTCATCTACAAACAGCTGTCTCCAGTCACGGTCTGGTTTGGGTAGAGCTTTGATGCTCAGAGGCTGTGTTCTTCGTTAGCCGATGCATTCAGTTTCTCTGGCGATTGAGATACTCACGTTCGCGAAGAAGCCCTGGGGATCGTATTTGGACTTGACTTGAGACAGCTTTGCGACGTTGGCGCCATAGTAGGAATCAAGCGGAGGGGTAGAAATCGTGTCGTCCATGTAGCCCGAGTAGCTCGCCATTCTGTTGTCACCCCGTCAGTCACATAATGCTCATCACCCAGATTTAACAAGAACGAAAAGGAACTCACCCAACAAGCGGACGCAGGTAGTCCTCCAGGCTCTTGAACCACTTCACATAGCCAGCATGGACCTTCTCATCCGCGGAGCTGGACGATAAACTCCATGTGCGAATACGCCTGCTCGCGCCACGCAAACGCCGCATCGCCCGCGACCGAAATGTTCCATGCGTGCCATTCGATCCACCCCTGCGCCGCGTCGTCGAGCTCGTCGATCCGCGAGATGGCGTTCCTCATCGTCTCGTCCGTGAGCAGCTTATCCTTTTGGACCATGAAGGATTTCGACAGGCGGATGAAGCGCGCCCAGGGCTGCGCGGGGGTAGCTCGGGCGCCTTTGTCGTCTCGTTGTAAGTGAAGTTGGCGTAACCCGGGATCTGGACGAACGGCTGCTGGATCGTGTTGACGACAAACGGCGCGACTTGCGCAACGGCCTCGTCGGCGCCGCACTCGTTGACGCCGTAGCCGAAGAGGCGGGCGTTGATGGTGTTGCACCCGCCCGAGATGTACGCCGCCGGCTTCCCGATGCCCAGGAGCCCGGAGGCGTTCACCATGCCCTGCAGTTTGTCGAGGGTGCAGCCGTAGCACCACCCAATCACATCAGTCCGGTTCTTGTACAGGTTCACCTGCGAGCTGAGGGCGCTGTCCGCGCGGGGCGCCCACCCGTGGAACGTCTTTGCGATATCGAACCGCGTGTCGGAGCCGTTCCACTGCAGGTACACCATGGCGGAGCGGGGGAACTCGTACATGCGCAGCGTCCACTCGATGACGATGCCGTAGGATCCGCCGCCGCCGCCGCGGATGGCGAAGAAGAGGTCGGCGTTCTCGTCGCGGGAGGCCGTCACGACGCAGCCGTCCGAGGTGACTACCTTTGCGGACTCGACGTTGTCGACGCCGAGGCCGTTTTGGCGCATCTGCATGTTGAAGCCGCCCGCGGAGAGGAAGCCCGAGATGCCGACTGTGGGGCAGATGCCGCCCGTCCAGTCGAGGCCTTGCTGGCCGAGGGCCGTGTAGAGGGCGCCGAAGCGGATGCCGGCGCCGACGGTGGCGGTCTTTTTGTCTGCTGCGATGTTGACGTAGTCGATGTGAGTGATGTCGATGACGAGGGCGTCTTGGAGGGCGGAGTATCCGAGGAAGCTGTGCAAAGTGAGTTACCTTGAACTCACCGGGGCTAGGTTTGGAGATGTTGAATGCTTACTGGTGACCACCGGTTCTGGGGACTGCCTTGATGCCACTCGTCTTTGCGCATTGGATCAAGGTGCAACTTCAGGGCTTTTCCGCGTAAGCAATCAACACTGGCATCTGTGTAAACCTGTTGACCATATGGTAAGCACTGTGCCCTGAACTTTGGGGCAGTATACCGATCTCACTGGATGGCCTCTCCGATTCTCGCATCGTGATATGTAGGATCAGTCGGCGTCACGATGCGCAGAGCCGCGTTCCTCCAAAGACCTCCTCACACATGACTTGAGGGCTCTCTCTTGATCCGAGGTGCGGCGAGGACTGCCTGCGCAGCGCAGCGAAGAAGTGACAGCTGCATGGCGAGGAGCTATGGCGGGTTGGCTGATTCGTTGACGAGGAGGATGGTCTGTGGTTGCTGGATGGGCAGGAAGGAGTTCTTCCGGAAGGTCGCGGGTGACTGTTAAATACATTGCGGCGATGATCTTTTGGACAACCTTCTCCTGCTTCGCAGACCACAAAATGGAGGATATGTACAGCCCTCTTTCCTCCGTCTTGGTCCTTAGTTGGCAAAAGTATAATACGAAGCACAATCGGTCGATAGTCAAACGAGACGCCAAGGATGAGATTAGCGAAATGGACTCCCA